CAAAATAAGAAACAAAACAATGTACAAAGATTATACAAATGGTATCAAAATGAGAAACAAAACAATGTACAGAGATTATACAAATGGTATCAAAATGAGAAACAAAACAATGTACAGAGATTATACAAATGGTATCAATATGAGAAACAAAGCAATGTACAAAGATTATACAAATGGTATCAAAATAAGAAACAAAACCATGTACAGAGATTATACAAATGGTATCAAAATGAGAAACAAAACAATGTACAGAGATTATACAAATGGTATCAAAATGAGAAACAAAACAATGTACAGAGATTATACAAATGGTATCAAAATAAGAAACAAAACAATGTACAGAGATTATACAAATGGTATCAATATGAGAAACAAAACAATGTACAGAGATTATACAAATGGTATCAATATGAGAAACAAAACAATGTACAGAGATTATACAAATGGTATCAAAATGAGAAACAAAACAATGTACAGAGATTATACAAATGGTATCAAAATAAGAAACAAAACAATGTACAAAAGATTATACAAATGGTATCAAAATGAGAAACAAAACAATGTACAGAGATTATACAAATGGTATCAATATGAGAAACAAAACAATGTACAGAGATTATACAAATGGTATCAATATGAGAAACAAAGCAATGTACAAAAGATTATACAAATGGTATCAAAATAAGAAACAAAACCATGTACACAGAGATTATACAAATGGTATCAAAATGAGAAACAAAACAATGTACAGAGATTATACAAATGGTATCAAAATAAGAAACAAAACAATGTACAGAGATTATACAAATGGTATCAATATGAGAAACAAAACAATGTACAGAGATTATACAAATGGTATCAATATGAGAAACAAAACAATGTACAGAGATTATACAAATGGTATCAAAATGAGAAACAAAACAATGTACAGAGATTATACAAATGGTATCAAAATAAGAAACAAAACAATGTACAAAGATTATACAAATGGTATCAAAATGAGAAACAAAACAATGTACAGAGATTATACAAATGGTATCAATATGAGAAACAAAACAATGTACAGAGATTATACAAATGGTATCAATATGAGAAACAAAGCAATGTACAAAGATTATACAAATGGTATCAAAATAAGAAACAAAACCATGTACAGAGATTATACAAATGGTATCAAAATGAGAAACAAAACAATGTACAGAGATTATACAAATGGTATCAAAATGAGAAACAAAACAATGTACAGAGATTATACAAATGGTATCAAAATAAGAAACAAAACAATGTACAGAGATTATACAAATGGTATCAATATGAGAAACAAAACAATGTACAGAGATTATACAAATGGTATCAATATGAGAAACAAAACAATGTACAGAGATTATACAAATGGTATCAATATGAGAAACAAAACAATGTACAGAGATTATACAAATGGTATCAAAATGAGAAACAAAACAATGTACAGAGATTATACAAATGGTATCAAAATAAGAAACAAAACCATGTACAGAGATTATACAAATGGTATCAAAATGAGAAACAAAACAATGTACAGAGATTATACAAATGGTATCAAAATGAGAAACAAAACAATGTACAGAGATTATACAAATGGTATCAATATGAGAAACAAAACAATGTACAGAGATTATACAAATGGTATCAATATGAGAAACAAAACAATGTACAGAGATTATACAAATGGTATCAAAATAAGAAACAAAACCATGTACAGAGATTATACAAATGGTATCAAAATGAGAAACAAAACAATGTACAGAGATTATACAAATGGTATCAAAATAAGAAACAAAACAATGTACAGAGATTATACAAATGGTATCAAAATGAGAAACAAAACAATGTACAGAGATTATACAAATGGTATCAAAATAAGAAACAAAACCATGTACAGAGATTATACAAATGGTATCAAAATGAGAAACAAAACAATGTACAGAGATTATACAAATGGTATCAATATGAGAAACAAAACAATGTACAGAGATTATACAAATGGTATCAATATGAGAAACAAAACAATGTACAGAGATTATACAAATGGTATCAATATGAGAAACAAAACAATGTACAGAGATTATACAAATGGTATCAATATGAGAAACAAAACAATGTACAGAGATTATACAAATGGTATCAATATGAGAAACCAAACAATGTACAGAGATTATACAAATGGTATCAATATGAGAAACAAAACAATGTACAGAGATTATACAAATGGTATCAATATGAGAAACAAAACAATGTACAGAGATTATACAAATGGTATCAATATGAGAAACAAAACAATGTACAGAGATTATACAAATGGTATCAAAATGAGAAACAAAACAATGTACAGAGATTATACAAATGGTATCAATATGAGAAACAAAACAATGTACAGAGATTATACAAATGGTATCAATATGAGAAACAAAACAATGTACAGAGATTATACAAATGGTATCAAAATGAGAAACAAAACAATGTACAGAGATTATACAAATGGTATCAAAATAAGAAACAAAACAATGTACAGAGATTATACAAATGGTATCAATATGAGAAACAAAGCAATGTACAGAGATTATACAAATGGTATCAATATGAGAAACAAAACAATGTACAGAGATTATACAAATGGTATCAATATGAGAAACAAAACAATGTACAGAGATTATACAAATGGTATCAAAATGAGAAACAAAACAATTTACAGAGATTATACAAATGGTATCAATATGAGAAACAAAACAATGTACAGAGATTATACAAATGGTATCAAAATGAGAAACAAAACAATGTACAGAGATTATACAAATGGTATCAATATGAGAAACAAAACAATGTACAGAGATTATACAAATGGTATCAATATGAGAAACAAAACAATGTACAGAGATTATACAAATGGTATCAAAATAAGAAACAAAACCATGTACAGAGATTATACAAATGGTATCAAAATGAGAAACAAAACAATGTCCGGAGATTATACAAATGGTATCAAAATAAGAAACAAAACAATGTACAGAGATTATACAAATGGTATCAATATGAGAAACAAAGCAATGTACAGAGATTATACAAATGGTATCAATATGAGAAACAAAACAATGTACAGAGATTACACAAATGGTATCAATATGAGAAACAAAACAATGTACAGAGATTATACAAATGGTATCAAAATGAGAAACAAAACAATGTACAGAGATTATACAAATGGTATCAATATGAGAAACAAAACAATGTACAGAGATTATACAAATGGTATCAATATGAGAAACAAAACAATGTACAGAGATTATACAAATGGTATCAAACCGTAAAGAAACCATTTACCTTTCTTTAGGTATTATCTTATTTTTTATAATTTTTATTATAAAAAATAAAATAATGCCTAAAGAAAGATAAAACGATTGCAAAATTAATTACAGGCCAACCTGCGTGTTCGTCAGTCGATGACTACCTGTATTAACAAAATAATTTGACAAAAAAAATGTTTAAAATCTTACATGTGAAATCCTACAAATAATGGGACTTAAGAAAATAGATTGTAATTATTGAAGACATGGGCGAAGTTGTAAATAAAATAAACGAAAACAAATTCGAAGACATTTTTAGTTTGCATAATGATTCTTCCGAACTATCCATTTTTTTCTTTCCCCCACCCACAACGTTACTGCTAAAAGTACTCTCTGGCTTTTTTTAATTCGTCTGCAAAATTCGTTAAACTTCCGAAAATGAACAGAATCATTTATTCATTTCATTGGCTGTTTTCTCATTTCTTTCTTTTTCGCTCCCGATTTCCTTAATATGGAAATGTTGAAACAATAATAGTTAATGAATTATAATGAATGCAAAACGGTACATGACCGACCAATTAAAAATATTGACAAAACGCATTTGATTGGCTGGAGTTTGTGATCTCAGTCCCTGTATCAGGCAGTATAGAAATGTCTATCGCCGCAATGGAGACGCAGATCGCCATAATAAAGAATAATTGACGGTTTTTCGTATATGCTGGACTGAGAGGTGATGGATATGTTCTTGTTGTGAATGAGTAAATTGTAATCTATGAATGGCTTGTGAATCTGATTAACTAGGACTAGGATAGCTAATGAAGACCAGCCCTCTCACAATTTCTGACCCTGATTTTGTGCCACAATTCTGTATGTTCCAGAATAAATAGTAAAAACAACTGCCGGTTATAGGATTTGAAATTCCCTAAGAAAAATGCCAAACGTACCATAATGGGGAACACCATACCACCGCGTATCAAATAAAGTCGTCAACTTTCCACAATAGACAGATAAAGAGACGTCTTGAGGGTCCTGCAGTCGTTGTTATAAACACAAAAAATGCATTTGTTTGATAGAATTGTTTTATAATAGTGTTGTGTATGATACACCTAATTTACATAAGCGGACTACCGACCATATAAATATGGGTTGGTACCGGAAGACGGGGAAGATAGTAGAGATTAAGAAATTGAATCCAGAGACTCTGCCCGACTGCGATTTAGTCAACCCATTATGCAGGAACAGTCTTCCCAAGAATATACCAAACTAACTGTAAATATTGTGTACCTATTCTTTGTTTCAATACATTTTGTTAACGTACATTTTGTGTTGTATTATTCCATGCTTATTTAAGCTTCAACAAATAGTAACAACACTTTGTCTCAAGTACTTATCTTTCTTTCTGTAGCTTCAAGTCTCTTTATCTCTGAGGAGATTGTTCAGCATTCACTATTGTATAGGAGGACTGATATTACCTAAGATTTAAGTATTTTCATTTCATTTTGTTTCTAATTAAATTTTCCTGTTTTGTTTGTTTGTTTTTTTGATACTTTGTTCTTTTTATGTGCCATGTCCCATCAGGACATGGGTGATCATAGCTCTCCACAACTTCCTGCCCTTTGTAGCTCTTAGTAAATTGTGTCATTTTACTATCTCTCTTAATCCCTCTTCTGCTATTTTTAGAATTCCCACGTCTATCCGTTCACAAGAAAGTTCGGGGTCTCGGACAGATTATAATCACGACTATGTTGAGCCTAATGTAAGTAAACATATTTTCTAACATATCTAAAAATATAAATACGAGGTCTGATTAAAAAATATAGGGACTGTTGCTATGGTAACGGAGCTAAAGTACTAAAGTGAAGCCTCTTGGCAGGGATTGAGCTCGAAATTTATACATTAAATTATAATGTTCTCGCTCACTTTCGTTATTTATAACAGTGCTTGGAAGGAGAGTGCGTAGAGTGTGGTCGTCTCATTGCTCTGCAGAGCTTCCATCACTGATCATGACTTGTACAAGCGATTTGGACCAAACACAACATACCCCAGGGCCGACAACCACTCTGTTCCTCATATTCTCACATCTGACAACTGTTTCTTCCTCAAAAATCAACTCCCACTTGAAAAGAACAAAACGACTCTTGGATTTGCCTCGACGTCTTGAAACTCGCTATCCCCAAAAAAGGAATGCTTCCATTAATGGAAACGACGATGGATAAAATGTGTGGTTTCAGAATGAGACTTCTAAGGAGATTAAATGTCGAATGTGACATAGTTTTCTTTTTATATCACCAACCCCGATATTTTTTTATCAATTCTCGTATTTTATAGTTGTTCCCAAGGCCCCAAAACAGCGCACAATAGATGCTTACTTATTTAAGTTTTTATAATGGCGTGAAAAGAGAATTAAGTAGCTCCGATGATAAGGAGAGGTAAGATAGATAACGGTCCACCCTAAAGATCATAAACTGGAGAAAACAACCTTTCGGGAGCCTGTTTCACAAAGTAACACAGTGTTTTATTAAGGTTGTTAAGTTCAAATATTTAACAATGCGGTATTTAACGATATTTCTACGAATATTTTATTTTCATAGAACTCGCCATGAACTTATTCGATCATTAACTTAAGATTCATCAGAAAATGAAAATAGGAAAACCGTGAAACTTTTAGTTCTTATTTATTGGCATTTTTATATGTTTATTATCTTTGTTTTTTCTAATTTCTTCACTAAAATCCTATGAAGTGAAGAAAAGAAAAAAATTGTTTATTTTTTTTCAGCTCATTTAAAATTATTATGGTTAGCAAGTGCTATATCTCGTGCAAGATATAATAAACAAAGTAACCCGAGTGTTGGTTTTCAATTATTTTTATAATCGGATGTAGGTGTGTCAAATACAGAGACAGAGTCGGGAGTATGCTAACCTCAATAGGTGTTAACAAACGAAGACTTTTGACTGTCCGCTGTGGTCGTACTTAATCGGCAACCAGTCCGCCCATTATCGTGAATGGGGAAGTTGGGTTATATCATCACAACAGCAAGCTTGTCTCGCTCGATCAATTTACGAATGAGTAGTGAATTCGATTCACACTGGGCGTCCCATACTTTCGGTATTGTGCCACATCTAAGCTATGCTTGGAAAAGCGCCGTTCAAAAGTACTATATAACTACTTGCTTTTAAAATCCCACTTTAAAAGAGTTCTATCATGCTACGAACGTAGAACGAGTTACCTCCGAGTTGATTCGCTAAGAAATGAGCATACGATGATGAAAAATGATCAAACTTAATAAAAACAAAGTTTTATCGTCAAAATCTTTGTTTTTATTAATAGGAAAAACCAAAGGGTTTTTATTATTAAATTATATTTTGGTTAATTTGCAGTATAACACCCGCACTCAGTTCGCATTTATAATTTCCCAAATACTTACATTTATGTGTAATTTTACACGCTCCATTCGAATCTGGCTTGATAAATTTGATAAAATCTACCGTCTTGTAGTTACCGACAGTGAAAGTTTGGATTCATTCGCACCATGGGCAGCCATTACGGGCGTTGTTTGTATTCATTTCGCTGCAGAATAGCTATCAGTGTAGGTATCATTGCGCAAACTAAGCGCGTCTACGTAAATAGTTCTCGTGCGCAGTAATTGCGACAAATTTAGACAGGAAAGATCAGTTCCTAGCTTAGCTTTCCGTAGTCTTCCGCGTTTAGCTTTCCGCAGCGAAGGTATGCAAACAATGCGAGTAATGGCGGCCGCCAACGACGTGATGAATCCCAAATTTCATTGTCGATAACTCCAAAACAGTAGAGGTTATCAACTTTATCAAGCCAGATTCGAATGGAGCATGCAGAATCACGCAAATGTAAGTATTTTGGAAATTTTTTAATGCGAACTGAGTGCGAGTGTTACACTGTAAATTAACCTATATTTTTTACCATTTTTAGAACGTGGTAAATTTTGGTTTAAAATTTTGTTTTTCTTGAGACAGCGTGGTAATTACAAATTAGCAGAGGAAATTTTAGGGTCTTTTTTGCAATGAAAAACACATTGATATGAAAATTCGTACAAAAAGTCAATTGCTGCATTTTAATGAAACTTACATGACTTATTCACAATTTCTTTTTTTTTTAATCGGTATCCCTCATACAAGGCAATAAAGCCACTAAGGCACAAGGGGTTACAGGGTGTGAAAAAATTAGGGACATAAACACAACATAGAATTAAATTATTTTAAAATTGCTTGTTTTTTATAAAATCTTGATAAAAATATTTTATCTTGTGCATGTTACCTCCCACTTATTTAATTTTATGAAATTTCAAGGAATTCATTTTTGTAGATACCTCCACAAAAATATGATTTAAATTCTCCAAGGATTTGTGCTTATAATTAACAAAAACATTAAATTTGTTTTTGTTTTTGTTTTTAACAAGGCAGGAACCCCAGATACAGACCGTTGTTGTAATCTAGGAAAGGTTACTGACTAGAACAATCAAAAATGAGATAAAAAAAATTGACATCAAACTGAAATTTTTGAAAGATTTTTTAATAAAGAGAATTACATTGCGATGACAGACAAAACAAAATGGCACTAAAACTGGCGGTTTAGTGATTTCAAAACGGAAACTCCTTCACGTCAATTTAAATTATTGCAATAAAGTATTTTGCTTATTGAAAATATTAAATTTACCGTATGTACTCTCGTATCATGTGATTTTTGAAGACCAAATTTTGAAGCTAATTTGAATACAATAAATGCATGTACAGCGTGTCCATAAAGTTCGTGTGCACTTTAAAAAATTTATAACTTTATTTGTATTTGCGATAGAAATAATCTGTAAAAAATGTTATAAAGTTTAATGTATCTAGTTTTAAGTATAGCTAAAATAACTAATGTGATTTCAGGCATTACTGTAAATCAGTTGGGAAATGTTTTCCGTGAACTGCAAAATCGTATTACCCTTTGTATTGCTAATGATGGAGGACATGTGGAAACTTAAATAAAATTTCATTAAAGTCTTAAAAATATAGATTTACTTCTTTCTAATCCTTTTTGCAAATTATTTCTATCACAAATACAAATAAAGTTATACATTTTTTAAAGTGCACACGAACTTTATGGACATATAAATACTAATTTGGTCAAGGACCAGCACTAAATATCCTAATTTTACATCTCTTCTATGATGTGGACCCCTTAAAATTAGATCTTAAAAAGTCGCATGGTACACGAGTATATACGGTAATCAATTTGAAATTAAAAAGAAAATTTTTCATTTTTTTTTTTAATTCATTTTAATCCTTACGGATCGCGTTTCTGTGGAGATAGCTACTTAAACACATAGTTTATGAGTATTGATCGCGAGTAAACCGAAATACAAGCAGGGATTTTCTTTTTTTTTTATTTTTACTTGCAGAATCTCATCCAAGGGAGAACCGCAGGTGCTGTGGGGAGGTCGTCTTTGATTCGAGAAAATAAGTTTTGCGAAAACTGCCGCAGAATCATTTCAGAAAACGGAAAACCAGGCATCGACAACGAGGCTCACGATTACATTTATTTACAAGATAACACATTCCATCAAACCTTACCAGACGCCGGTATGAAAATAAGCTCACCTGAACGGATACCGGAAATTATTTACAGCGATTCCAAAGAGCCTAATACAGCATCAAGTAACAGTAATAAGGATCCCCCGATCTACCACGTGATCGACACTGCAGCAGCGAATGATCCTAAAGCTAAGCCGGATGAGAGAACCGGTGATCCTGATCCAAGCTCGACAAATCTGTACCATGTCGTAGAGCTAGGCTATGTAGCCGAAAAAGCTAATTCATAAGATTAAGGACATTTGAGAGTGAACTCTCTTGATGACCAAAAATTTCAATATCGTAAAGTAACGCGGACTCTCAGTAGCAAACGCAAATTATAACACTTTTTCTTACTCTTCTTTTACGGATTTATATATACCAAAATCAAGTGGATATTTACTAAGCTTAACTTTTCTAACACAAGGCCTTGTGTATACAAGTAAGTATTGTACTACTTTGTACACAATGGTTACGATCTGCTACATTCGGTAAATATGATATTCTTTATTTAATGTTAGTAACAGTTGAAATTTTAATTATTTACAACCATGAGCATTTATTGAAAAAGTCAAATAGTGAAATTATTATTATAATTTGATCAGTTAATTCAATATGAACAATAGAAATAGTCACTTACATTACTCACATTATTCGAACTGTTATCTTCATCTTCATTGCTATATTCTCAACGTTTAGACCGTTGTTGTAATCTAGGAAAGGTTATTGACTCGAACAATCAAACGAAGGCTGGTAATAACGATAATACTTAGGACAAGAACAATACATATAAGATTCCCCAGCGGCGCATAGAAGAAATAGTCAACTGCTAGAAGTGAGTCAAATGAATTCCACAATGAATCTCCAACTGCAGACCAACATAAAATACTTATTACTGTACGGACAATAATTGGACATACCCATTATCGTCCGTAGGTATGTTTCAACAGCCATTATACGAGCTGGCTTTCTTCAGGTGATTGGAATTTCGAAACGAACTCTTGATTGTAGATTTTTCTAGTTCCACGTGCCATGCCTCTTCCGGATGTCTCAGTTATTTCCCTTTAACTCAACTCTCCAAGTTTTGGTTCACAACTGCTGTAGCCTGGTATTGAACTCACAACTTTTTGGGTCTAGTCACTGGATCTAACCAACACCTTTATACACATTACTATGTAGATAAAGGTGGCACGTGGAACTAGAACAATTTACCTCGTTGGACGGAATAAAGGGTTCAGTTCGAAATGCCAATCACCTGAAGAAGGTCAGTGCGTACAACGGCCGAAACGTTATGAATATAGCAATGAAGATGAGGATAACAGTTTGAATAATGTAAATAGTGTAAGTGACCACAATACCTGTTCTCATATATATAGACAGAATAGAAATAGTCGTTGTAATTATTATTTATCAATTTTTTTTTTTCTGTTCTTCGTACAATCTGTCTGATGTGGTGTCATGGATATCGGTTTGGAATGAGATCACGGAGAGCCGATTTCGAATCCGAGTCAAGTTCGTTATACAGTGTAACCCGGATATAAGAGACCCGGATATAAGAGAAACCCGGATATAAGAGAAACCCGGATATAAGAGAGATTTTCTCTGGTCCCAAATTAGAGCCTGTGTTACCTAAACAAAATAGACCAAACCCGGATATAAGAGAAACCCGGATATAAGAGACTTCTTCTCCGGTCCCGACAACTCTCTTATATCCGGGTTACACTGTATTTACTTACGCACAAATCCCCTTCAGAAGGGTATGAATCCATCTCAGCTATGGGCTCTTTAGCCTTGGTTGGCAACCAGTCTACCGTAGGGAAAAATTTCTACTGCGGGAAAAATCTTTTGCCGCGTCAGTCATGTATCAAAAGATACATGATCGCCCAACCATGTATCACGTGTGGCCCTTAACTGACTGACTGACTAGCTTAAAAGTCGCCCTACCGCACGGCATTTAAGCTAGCTCCCGCTATCTAGGGTTTTTTTTATTGTACATTCGGCCTTCAAGAGTTTGAGAGTTCCTAAGTCTTTGCATATGCTCAGCACAGGAAGCTCTTCTGGCTGCCGTTTGATTTGATATTTACTTTCTTTTCCTCGCTCTTTTGATTATAATCTGGGGGAGATTTCTTTTTGCGAAGCATACTGCTGCCGCATGCGATAGGCAACAATAAACTACAGAAGAACTCAAAATTGATCGCTGCATTTAAGTATTGCATTAATTTTTAAGTTTACGATAATTCTTCTGTCGCCACTTAACTTAAAGACAAGTTAGGACCTACGTTACATACAAGCTTACAGCACCTGATATTCCCTAGTGGTCACCTATCTAGGTACTGACCAGGCTCAACGTTGCTTAACTTCGGTGATCAGATGAATAATGGTGTTTCAACATGATATGGTCATAAGCCTAACGAAAGATGAAGCATTAAAAAAAATATCTTTTGACTGCATGGATATTCAAGGGAAGTAAATTATGACCAGAATTATTCAAAAGCCATTTTGCATGTGGAAGTGAAGAAGCAATTTCTTTGAAAAGTTGTCCAATTGCACAAACACTAAATAAATAGTATTTTATTAATAGACTAGCTTAAAAGTCGTCCTATCAAGTGGCATTTAAACTAGATCCTGTAGAGGGCTCTTGATTGGGCCTTTGGTTTATTCAGGAGTTTGAGAGTTCCTAAGTCTTTGCATATTCTTAGCATTGGAAGCCCTACTGGCTTCCTTTTGATCGGGGTTTTCATTTGCACAGAATTTTCTTTTCCTTGCTGCAGCCTTGGCTTTTTTCATTGTAATCTGGTCCTCTGTTAGCAGAGATTTCTTTTTGCGAAATATACAGCTACCGTATGAGATAGTAACCACTAATTCTTCTCGCAAAATATCAGAGCTACAAGATCAGGTTGTTCTTAAATTGTAGCTTTTAGATCGGCCATGTTTTCTTCTAAGATTCTTGCACTCGAGACGCGTACGAGCGCGTTTTGTTGCAGGGGTAAGCCGATTTTCCATTCTACACATAAAGTTAGTTAAAGATATATAAAAGAAGTTAACAATTAAAATTGTTACTTTAAAGTTAGTTTACATACAAACAAGTTCCCAATGTTAGCAACTTATTCCTATTGTTAGTCTACGCTAGAATAGAGATACACAAAGCTTACGATTAAGCCTTCAAAAAAGTTAAATCGCGTTGAACGTGGGCAGTACTTACGTGACAACTTAGAAAAACTATTAGGCTGAGTCTCAAGTAATTTCTGTTTTTGGTAACCAATTATAATGACAAAAATATCTTCCTAACTACTAATCATGCATGGCAGTTAAGAATAAATTTTGTATAGTTTAACACAGGGGTTTTCAAACTTTTTGACTTGCGGACCCCTTTATATTTCAGGCTTTACCTTAGGGACCCCCTTATAAACGCTTATGAAATTTATACATAAATATTTGCTGAATATAACATATAATTTTGCATTAATGCAAACGCCTAACAGTCAATGAGAAAGCCGGAAATGGTAAAATAGATCCAAAATTCAAATCCTTTGGTTCCTTCTCTGCATGAATAGAATCCATTATCTTTATCAATTTAAGATACAAATTATATTAGTATATCAAATCTATGAAATAATTTATTGAATCAATTTATTTCATGATCAGCCTATAAGTTACTTACATGTGCGCTTATAAGTTGCACGTCACCCATAAAAAAAGTGTTTGCTGTCCACGGACCCCTATCTTGTCCTTGCGGACCCCCTGTGGTCCGCAGACCACAGTTTGAAAACCCCTGGAACATACTTTAGTTTTTACACAGCAGTAGATCAAAGAATTGCTTAACCCCACTAACGGAGTGACTGAAAATGCATTTATGTCACATAATATTATAGGAGTTCAATCAAGGGAATAAAACTATGTAAATTTCTAGAAAGATATGTAGTGTTTGTGGTCAAGGAGTATGGCAGTGAACGCGAGACAATCTTTTCAAAGATGACGAATAGACTTGAAGCATCAGAAATGTGGTTTTGCAAAAAGATGCTGAGGATACCATGACCCGAACATGTGAGCAACGACGAGGTTTTAGAGAAAAAGGAAACAAAAAAGGAAACTTATACTTAACATAGGAAGAGGCAGTTTGATATTTCTAGGGCACGTAATGCAGAACGGAGGGTGGAGGAAAATTTGATACTCACAGGGCAGAAAAAAGGTGCAGGGGAAAGCAGTGCGTAAAATACTTGATGAGTTTGAGCAAATGGATGGTAGATCAGGGTTTAAGAGAAATAAGAAAAAGACAAAACTTATTAAGAGCTACAAAGGATAGGAAGATGCGGGTGGGGGCATGATCCTGAAGAAACACAGCACATAAAAAAAGAAGCCATAAAAAAAGAAGCCATAACTAACTGATAAGTACAAAATTGGTTTGCAAAGTTTCGTTCTGGAGAAACATTGTTGGAATATTGATGCTGAAGTTTAAAAGTCATTTATAGAAAGCGGTCGAGGGCAAAGAACACGGAAATTAACAAAGATGTTAAACATGTCTACCATATGACGACACTGAGAAAAGATAGGGAAAGTCAGTAATCTTGGTGTTTGGTTCCGCACGGCTTTATTTATTTTAATCAGTATCACCCCATGCGAGACAGGAAAGACTCAAGGCGTTTCAGGGTGTGGAAGAATTAGGAACAAAAACATTAATAATGAGCGGAAAGAGAAAAGAGTAATCAGGAGGACAGTAGATAGCGATTGACATTGCATTTAAATTTTTGAAGATTAAAGTTGGCTGAAAAACATGGAGCCAAAAGGAAGTTCCACGAGCGAGAAGTGCGAGAAAGGAAACTTAGCATAGAACTTACGGCTACATCTAGCCAGCTCAACTGTTAATTGATGAGATCTAGACGCCAGTCGAGTACTGCGCCTAAATTAAAAAAGTATAGTTACCATAGCGAATAGCTCATCCGAACAATTACTATGAAAGTATTTATAGAAAAGACACAGGGAGGTAACTTTATAGCGGTGGGAAAGTGACTGAAGCCGAACTTCCAGATCAGATCTAGTAATATTATTGATTTTTCTTTGGATTTTATCGAGGAGCTCAAGGTAAATAGCAGTGGACGAATGGTAGACTTATAGATATGTTAGATAGATTCTGGAGAGAAAAATTGTCTCGCATGACGCAGTGAACCAACTTTCTTGGCAGCTGACATGGCAATGAATTTAATATAATCTTTCCACTTCCTGTCAGCCGAAAACGTTAGTCTGAGAAGGCGGA